TACTTTAATTTTAATTTTAATTTTAATTATATAATCTTTAACCGTTATTATATTATTTAAATAAAAAAAAACTATTTTACAATTTTCCACATATTTTATAAACTATTACGTTTTTTTATAATATTAAAAATAAGTTTATTTATTTATTAAATTTATTAAGTTTAAATAAAATGGTTTAAATTCAAATTAATTTAATTAATTTATTATTAATTTAAAATTAAAAAGTTAATATTTTTATAAAATTATTATATTTCAAATTAAAAACCAATATTGTAAATTTAAAAAAAAATTTAAAAAAAATAAAATTTTTTATAAATAATTATTAAAATGTTATTTTATTAATTGCATAAATATTAATAAAATTATACATAATAATTAAATTTTTTATTAACTTTTTAAAAATTTTTTAAAATTAATTAACACAATTAAACTTTTTTTTTTTAATAATTTTAAAAATAAATTTAATAATTATAACCGCATTATTTAATAAACAAATAATTGCGTATAAAATTTTATCAATTTTATTAATATAAAAATTACAATTTATATATAATTTAATAATTAAAACTTAACTTTAAATTTTAAATTCCTATTATTTTATTTTATTATTTTTATTTCTGGAAAATATAAATAAATTTATAACGCATAATTATTTCGGATTATTAATTATAAAAATAAAAATAAATATTTTATAAAAATTAACATAAAAATTATTATTATTTTAATTTAATTATATTATTTTCATTTCTTTTTATTATATTTAAAAAAAAGTTTTTGTTAATTAATTTACTTTTTATTAAATTTATATTTAAAAGTTACATAATCTATTTTTTAATTAATTAAAAATTTTATTTACATTTTTTAAATTAATATTTACATTTTTAACTTTTATAAAAAATTTTTTTAAAATAATTACGTTATCCACATTAGTTTAATTTAATACGTTATAAATTATAAAAAAATTATTTATGCAATTATTACTATTATTTTAATTTGTTATAACTTATAAATAAAAGTTAAAAAATAATAAAATTTGTTAAAAATTTATAATTTTAACGTTTAAGGTTTTTTAAAATTTAAAATTGCAATATTTTTTAATTGTAATAAAAAATTTAATAATTTATTATTATAAATATAAATTATAAAATATAATATTAAAATTTTACCGAAAAAAATTAATTTTTAAATAATTTTTTAAATTAAAATAAATTTAAAGATTAATTAAAATTACGTATAACTATTTTAATTTTTTAAAATCTTTTAATTATATGTTTAATTTTTTTAGGTTTTTAATTTATTGTTAAAGTTATTTTATTTATTAAATAAAAAAGTAAATAAATTTTATGTTTAAAAAAAAAATATTATATTATTATAAGGTTAAAATTAAAAGGTATTATTATTAAAAAATAATATTTTAAAAAATCTAGAATATTAGATTATTATAATAAAGTTTTATTTATATATATAAGAAAATAAAAGTCCTAATTTAAGTATTGAGTTATGATGTTATCTGGCGGACTGCCAGATAACATCGTGACGTATGTTACGGCCGTGACAGTTATTGTCATTTTAGTTGATTATGTAAGCATATGTCTGCAAGGCTAAGGCCTGCAAGGCTAAGGGCTGAAGGCGCTAAGCAAATGCATCCAATAAAAACACAATACCGGTGCAAGGGTAAAAAGCGATGCACCCAATCAATCAATTTTAAGGTGCAAAGGCTAGAAGGGATGCACCCAATAAAAACACTCGGACGGTGCGGGAGTGATGCGGGGTTTGGCCAATCAGATTTGTGGGTGTTAGGTCTTATCAGCTTATCGGGGTCTTATCAACAACCTTATCAATTTCCGGGTATTTTTTACGTAAGCACATACAATTCCTTATCAATTACCTTATCAATTAAAAAAGTTTGAGCGCAATATTCCTTCGGAAAGATAAGCTTTAACAGTTTTATATATATATTTATATGTATAACTGTTAACGAAACCATTTTTATTAATTTAACCATAAATATTAAATGGATATTTTTTGCGATTTTTATACGTAGTAAAGACCTTAAAATATACTTAGAAATAAAAACGTTATATCTTTATTTATTTTCCTGGATTAATTACGAATATGCGATTTTGCTGATTTCCTATATAAAATGGGTGGTCCCCACTGGGGGGGCCCCAGTAACGGGGTTGCGACTTAAAGACCAGATAGTGCTCCATCTACAGCGCTCTAGGAGCAAGACAAAGAAAGACCGTGATGCCCAGGGGATAGTAATGAAATATTGTTAAGAAAAGGGGTAATCATATAAACTATCAGCTACTTAAACACTTGTCGATCAAAGTCTATATGAGCCCGTATACTTCTTAGATTTCACCCAATTACTAACTTTCAGAAGCCTAATATCCTGACATTTATCAATTATTCATGTGTTCATAGTAATCAAAGAGCTCTATATTTTGATGTTACAGTTATTACCTATATAGCACTCGGCAGGTCATCTAACTGGAAGATGAAATGCCGTCCAACATATGTTTCAATTGTATTATTGTCAAACACGAAAAACGACGCCGTAATCGCTGACTAGCAATTACGCCTTATATATGATGCGACAATTATATAGAGGATGAATGAGCAGGGTCAGATTTGTAAAGCGATATAGCCCGATGCAAGGGTAAGGATTGGCCGCAAACCCGCGTTCTCGCTATGCTTTCATTAGTTTGGTTAAAGGGTATTTTTCTAGACAAGGCTCCTATTTTGCTGTTAACGTGCTTGATAACCTTAGAACTAGGCACTTTAGAGTAATTCTCGAGAAGCTGGCGAATAGGTCCATTGATCTCGGTTAAATCGTCTTGGTACTATCCTCTGTTTCTCTCAGGAAAGGAGGTATCGTTGGTAGCAGCCATAGTGAACACTTCGTTGTATATGAAATGTTGTTTAAGCGTAGGACGTGGTGTTGTAAGTGGAGAGCGAAAGGATATTAAAATAACCATGAGGTATAGAAGCAAGGGAAAGTACAAGACAAAGCTACTCCTCAGAACTGGCTGAATACGCCCGGTAACTAGACTAGAGTAAATAAATATATTCTGCGATTGATTCAAAAATCTACATGCTTCTATACTTGAAGTTTTGTTTAATGTGAAGTGGTGTGCCATGAATAGCGACCGTGAAAAGGAGACAACAAGTTACATACCTACATTAGCGGGTGGGGGGGGTCTATTGATATTATGTTAGTAACGGTATCGGTGTAATTACATAATTACAGGCCCTGACACCATGTCAAAACCATGTCAACAGGTCAATACAATGTCTGCAAGGCTTATTGTACCGATTTCATTGCAAGTACTTACAAGTCAGTACTAATAAACAGTATGTCAAGGTATTTATTATGTTAAAGGTACTGTCTATTTCGCCATAATTACCAGGCCTGTTGACGATGTCCAAATAGCCACTATGTCCACAACCATGTCAAAAATTCAACACAATGTCAAATATTTAACATAATGTCAGCCCCGGATATATACAGGTTAAATAAAGGCCTGGAATATGCATATATACTGCAATACGGTAAACTTTAATCATTCGTAAAATCGTAATAACCTCGTAGTGTAATGGTAAAACACGTAGCCCGTAATCTCGTAATAGTAATAGTTCAACATAATCTTTTCAATTAACTTTTGCATGTGCCTATGCCTTTGCTGTAATATATAAGTACGTTAAAGGCCTTGTATTAGATTACAAGGCCTTCTATTCTTTTTTTTTTTTTTTTATACATTAGATTACTTAACCTAACATAGTCTCTTGGCCTGACATAGTCTTATACGTGACATATGTCGATTAGGTAACCGTGGCTACCATTGGCAACAATATCTAAAAAGTTATTCTTTCCTAATATATCAGTATTTTAAAAAAAATACAATTACAACAAAATATAATCGTATACGTACGGTAGCTATTTCAAACCTAATCATCCTTATATTTTGGATACAATCACCCCTAGGGGCGACAATATTATACACATTAGCCAATTAGCTAGGGAACTAATTCCTAACTGTTACGTGGCGGACATTATGTCCACACCTTATCACCATTGCTGACACCATGTCAATAGACCCCCCCCACCCGCTAATGTAGGTATTTATACTTGTACTTACTGGGCGCATCATGCAAACCACAAAATAGTTGCCCGCGAATTAAATAAAGTCGACTATGTAGTTTCAGTATTGGATAAAGGATATAATATCCCGGATATGACTGGTATAGACTTGTAGTATTATACTGATAATAAAATGTGATATGAATAAAGGGAAAGAAAAAAGAAAAACAAAAGAAAAAAGAAAAACAAAAGAAAAACGAAAAAAAGAAAGTGGTCGCCTAGGGAATCGAACCCCAGGGCCTAGCAATGTTGTAAGGATATAGTATTGCATAGGTGTGCGAGCGATACAGAGTAGTTCTTAGGTATGGCGGATTTCGCTAGGTCGTACCAACCCGACCTTTTGGCCATTTGTAAAAACCCCCTCGGATATTTAGATATATAAGCCTTCTTTTGGACAAACCGACGCTCGGATACGGAAGATAGTTTAGTATAAGATTTCTATACTCGTGGTGTGAAGTTAAAATGTGATAGGAGTATGAGAAGGTCTGTGCCTCTGTGGTATAAGAACGTGTAAAATAGGAGGGGGGAGCGCGGAGATGAATATCCATATTACTAAGGCATGTAAACCCTCTAAGGATCCTGTTCTTCTTAGGGACAACTATAGGTCTTTGGCTTAATTTGCTCTAAGTCACACGTGAGCTATCACTCATGCTGCGACGGTGGTATTGCGCATATGGTGAGGACAACTAGGACAACTAGGACTGCTAGACACTTACGTTTCTTTATTGAAAGTATAGTGTCCTTCTTTACTAAATAATATGTTCGCCTCGGTAGGACTTCTTACCTTACGTACTGAAGGTCTTTCTGATACTGGACAGAAAATTAGGACATCTACACATCAATGTCCTAGGAAAGATTAATATAAATCCCTTAGGTAGAGACTTATGACTTTTTAATAATCCTATTCTTTCTATTTCTATTTAATAGTTCATTTAGCGTAACACATAATAGTTCTAGGAGATGTCCTTGCCATCATCGACCCTGCTTGTATCCCTTGCCTCTGACCAACCCTTCAGAATAGGTCTTCTCTAAACTTCCAATGATTAGCTTCGATGACATCCGCCGGCATGGTCCAGTCCTATGGCGCCGGATTCTTCGGGAGGAGATCTGGATAGTCTTGATGGATACTCCATAAATGCAAGGATATCGGGACAGCGAGGATCATGGGGTGCCGTTCTGCACCAAAGTGATCGACCAAGTTTATGAACTCGCCGGGATCGATCGCATCGTCCATGCAGGCAGGTATTTTCCCGTAGTAGACTTTGGCAAGGTCATGTGGTAGGCTAACCCGCAGCTCTCTAGAGCTGTACTACCAGATTAGTATATTCTATCGACCATATCAAAGAGAATAGAGACATACAAATGCTTCCGGATGCTATGTGCCTTTGACTGAGTAATTGGGTCCTTCTTTGGTAGCCTAGAAGACGCGACGAGAGCGTCTAAGTATAGCTTGACGAACTTCTCGCGATGCTACACGAGATCCTCTTTCAGTAGGCGGAGTTGGAAGTGGTGAACCCTCCAGTGTCGAGGTCGGTATTTGCCCAAGTTTGGCCACTCGGTCCTTACGGATGGTAGGTCATGCTCGCGCATGTATTGTCCAGCATGCGCAAAGGTTATGCGGGCTTTATCCTTATGCCACTGATGCCGAAAGACTGAGACCACGGTCTTCAATGGGAGGTTCGCAAGTGCAGTGACGGCTGTCTGGTGTTGAAGTGTCGTATGACAACCGGCCCCTGAAGATTGTCCATTTTCAGCTGGCTTTTTGCCGTCCTTCACAGATGGATCACCGCTCATATTTGACAGCTGCTGTCAGTATCGACGGCATAGCAGTGTTAAGGAACGGGGAACTGGGAATTCCAATTCAAAGTTGGAGGAATTAAAGCAGACTCTTCAACACTGGAAAGCTCCTACTGCTACAAATACTCAAGGAAAGTACCTAACTTGATTATTATTATTATTTACATGTGGAAAGAATTGGGAATTATGAGTTGAGATCTGAGAGTAGAAGTTGCATGCGAGTGCTGTAGTTCAATGTTGTTGGTTATGTCGGATAGTTACATACATCATTGTATCCACAAATCATATGTACCTAAGGTATGCATCAATCGAGATCGCGGGGGTTATTATAGGGAAAGCTCTAAGAAAATAAATAATAAAAAATCGGAAGTGACGACAACGAAGCCCTACTCCAAATTTAACACGGCGCAAAATGTCAACAGAAAAACCGAGCGCGCTGCGGTCTATCATAGCAGGCGCTACAGCCGGCGCAATCGAAATCTCTATCACATACCCAGCCGAGTTCGCCAAGACAAGAACACAACTCAATCGCAAGTTAGCTGCCGGTCAGAAGCTCCCTTGGCCACCCTTTGGCAAGCAGTGGTATGCCGGTTGCACCACTCTGATCATTGGCAACTCTGCCAAAGCTGCCATACGCTTCGTCTCCTTCGAACAGTATAAGCGCCTCCTCGCCGACGAGAATGGTAAGGTCTCGGGTCCTAGAAACGTTATCGCCGGTTTCGGCGCCGGTGTCACTGAGTCGCTACTCGCCGTCACTCCTACCGAGTCTATTAAGACGACCCTGATAGACGATCGCAAGTCGCCTAACCCACGTATGCGCGGTTTCTTACACGCCGTCCCGATAATTGCGAGAGAACGAGGTATTCGCGGCTTCTTCCAGGGCCTGGTACCCACAGCTGCGAGACAATCGGCGAACAGTGCTGTGCGATTTGGCTCCTATACTAGCCTTAAACAGCTTGCCGAATCATATACCGCGCCTGGGGAGAAGCTCGGGACGGTGGCTACCTTTGGCATAGGGAGTGTGGCAGGCGCCATAACCGTGGCCGTAACTCAGCCTCTCGACACGATTAAGACTAGGATGCAGAGCATCGAGGCTAAACAGGTCTATGGAAATAGTTTCCGGTGCGCGGCCTTAATCTTCAAGCATGAGGGCGTCTTGACGTTTTGGAGCGGAGCCCTGCCGAGATTGGCGCGGCTAGTCATGAGCGGTGGCATAGTCTTCACTATGTATGAAAAGAGCATAGAGTTGATGCGAACAATAGACCCGGAAAATAAGTACATATAGACGTGGGAGAACACTTCTTCACTTAGACAGATACCCGGCAACACAGGGATACATGACTTGATGACGCCCCTTATATCAAAATCGGAAAATGGGTTAGGATTGGCTGTTGAATAGTTTCAAGACTCGCGGCTGTGGTATTAGTTGGTTCAAAGGGGGGATGGATCAAGGCTTTGGAACGATGTTTAAGAGATGACAATTCGCTACGAGCTCTCGCCCATAGCTTCGTTATGAGACTATTCATCAGCTATTGTGAGAGTTCTTACGAAAGGGGCACTACTATTGACGTGAGATATTGTTAAATACTCATAGGGGCAGCATATAGAGGTGCACATAGGCCCCGAAAAGAATAAAAAGGATCCAAATGACACTATTTGGCCACCCAGCAAGATTGCGCAATGTTCGTGACCCTGAGTAGAATTGACTTGCTAACTCTTCTATATGATACGTGTAATTCTTTGCTGATTCACAAGAGCCCCTTGGCGTTGTTATTGTATTCTTACAATGCCCTTCACCCGCAACCATAACCTGTCCAAGTAGGATCGAGTCGGTGCTTCCTCAAGCTCCTTTACCAAATCTGTAAAATACGTCGGCTTACTCCTAGGGCGTAATAGAGAGCCCGTGATGGGGTACTGCATTCATTTCAGTATTAACCCTCTGCAAGAAGGAGAGGACTGTAACTATAGGTCATACCGTTTTCTTATATCGGTTATCCAGAAGTGAGTATAGCGCATTGGCTTGTTTCAGCTGGTCTTGCTCGGACATACCAGAGGAACTTTCAAATCGCTTACGCAGTACGTCTTGGAACTGGATCTGAGGTCGCAAAGTGTCTTTGGGCCACTGGCCGAGAGCCCGTAGTACATGGCGCTGAGCGCTCTATAATCGTGTAAGTAAGATATACGAATAATCGCCAAGTTAACTTGGATATGACGATATGACGGTGGATCGTTAACATACGATTGCTTGACGAGACATTATTGTTCAACGCGATGAGTAGGGTTGCTGATTATTACATACCCCTCCTAGTAGTTGATCTTGCGCATTCGGTTGAGAATGCTTCGCTACACGATGTGATGTCTCTTAGCGCATCGACAACTTTACGTCGTCAAAGCCATAGAAATTTAATGATAATCAATGACGGAACGAATCAAAGAGCTTACCATTGTATATCGATAAGGAACAATATTAGTTCATATCGATTACCGTAATAAGGGTTAGGCCTAATGGGGATAGAATAACCTCCGGCGGCAGGCCTCCAATAGTTTAATTTTCTGAAATTGCCGAATTGATTGTTAGAGTTTAAGTGTGTATGTGGCTCATGCATCCAGCTGGGTCACCATTCAGGCCATTGCGCTTGGGGCTGTCAGACGTTATTGGTCAGCTGGACCCATTGAACCTTTCGCTTCGGCGCTGTTCGATGTTAGAGGTACCTAAAACACCCCTGCGACCGGGTGCCTACGAGTTCATTGCACTGCATTCACTGCGGGTGAACTATCTTAGGTTTTTAGGTTTCTACATAGGTACCTCGTAGTCGCATCATCGCCTTCCCTAATCCCGCCGCCGCTTCTGCCCCCGTGTCGCATGTCTCCCTTTTACTACCATCAACTTCTTCATCAAATCAATCACTCATCTCTCCATCTTTTTTCCTAGTCTTCAATACACTCACTCTCCTTCAAAGACTAGGAATCTACTTCTGCCCTATTTTTCTCTTCTTGCTCAATCAATAATCCTGCGACGCAAATATTTCCTTTACCAGCCGGAATCCGCCACTTTTGCTACTCCTTCAACTGTTTCATTTTAGTTTCTACCTACACCCTAACGATGTCCGGACGCTACGAACGGGTTAATACCCAAGACGACGAGCCTGACACCCCGATTGCTCCCTCTTCGTTACGACCGCAGTCGACACCTAACTCTCCCCCGCCTTCATTTCATTCGCGGGCCTCGTCCGCTGAAAGAAGAAGGCGAAATGTCGATCCTACGCTAGCTGACGCATTCGACGCCGAAGATGACGATAGCGACGACGACGAACCCGACGATAGACAGCGCTTAGTTCGGGGAAACTCATTTCCTATTTCAAGCAATCCTACTAGTCAGGCTTCAAATGGAGGAGATGCGCGACCATCTAACGGAGGACAAACGGCGCAGTTCTCTCCTGGTGGTACCAACGCTCAGCATGCTGGCTCAAGAGTGTACGGCGGTGGGATACAATCCGATGGCGTCTTTTCCAATATGATGGCTCGGCCTGAGAGAGGAGAGAAGATCGTGGAAGAAGCACCTCCGGTATGTCTTAGCTATATTATATTAGCACGTTAGCCATCACTAATGATTTCGTAAGACATACGAGCAAGCAGCTGCAGACGCTGCGCCACCATACTGGGAGACGACAATCCTAGCACCGGGCCTTGGCGGTCCCGATGATGTTTACATCGATGGAATGCCCGTTGGCTCGGTATTTAGTTTCATATGGAACGGAATGATCAGCATGTCGTTTCAAGTATTCTTTGTTGGCTTTCTCCTCACATATCTATTACACTCAACACATGCGGCAAAGAATGGCTCTCGTGCTGGGCTCGGTATCACACTCGTTCAGTACGGTTTCTTCCTGAAAGGAACATCCCCCGACTCGAGTGGTATGAGCGGCGCGCCTACAGATGGATACGCGCAACCTCCTGATCCTAACAGTCACGACTTTGACCCCAACGCTGTTACGACCAATAACGGCGAGGAAGATTCGGGTTTTAGCGATATTGTGGGCAGTGAGTGGATAGCGTATCTGCTTATGATCATGGGTTGGTTTATCTTGATCCGGTCAGTTAGCGACTACATCAAGGTCAGAAGGCATGAGCAGCTCGTGCTACAAAGCCCAGACAGGGGTTTGGGTATTCCGATTATTGCTGAAGGTGAAAGGCCTGAAACGGTGGTTTAAAATGACATTATCGAAGTCCCTGTCCATCCGAAGTTGATGGTGTATTCTCAGATCAATACAGCAAACACGATTATTAGACAACTTATCAGGATTCGGGCATGGGTTTAGGCGTACGGAGGGTTCTCTCAAAACAACGGCGTAATGGGTACTGGGAATATCATTGTCTTCCTCTGTGAACGACCTAGAACTCCTAGGGTTAGTCATGGATCCAGGCTTCAGCAGAGCATTTCGAAGCAATTCCGGTGTAATATATACATATATCATTATCTCTAGGTATAACTATGGGTGAGAATATAAATGGCCCCACGTAAGCACCTGAGTGGGTTTAACTAAGAAGATCCACCAAGACCCTGAACAACCCGCCTGGACTAATTACCTACCTATGCATTTTAGCTTCTCATGGTAGGTTGGAGATTGTATCCTAAAACACTAATGTCGAGATACTTTATGTATAGTTTATCGATAAGACTAAATAAGAGGGATAGGTACATAACTTTAACGTGGATGCAAGTGCGGGTGTAAGTGCCCCGCATGGCGTACCTAGATGTCAAACCGAATGAGATATGACGAGATTTGATGTCATTCAATTCTATATGTATTGATCATTTATGGGCAAAATATACCGTGCGTTATACTCGAACGAACTCTATACCAAACCGCCTTAGACTTCTCGGTTTCAATCAATCTTCGACGCTCTATAGGAACAACTCTAAGGCTTTCTTCCACTACTCACGCACCTTACCTCTACGGAAACCTACCGATTTAGTCCAAGGCGATTATAATATACTCAGACTGGCTCCTAACTCATCGTCCCGTCTCTGGGCTCGCATACTCCAGCTCCACGAAGTCAAAAGCTCGATCCGATCCGGACAACCAATCGACATGGCCTGGCGCAGCTCCGGCGTCACCAACGCCGAGCTAGTCGAAAACCTCTGGCGCAACAAGCTCATCACGCAGCCCCTCGCCAAATCCGCCTTCCTCAAAGTCGATCGCGCCCACTACGCCCCCTCGCTGCCCTACGAAGATAGCCCCCAGCCCATCGGCCACCAAGCCACCATCTCCGCTCCGCACATGCACGCCCACGCCGTCGAGACCCTGCTCCCCTTCCTACTGCCGAAAGTTGAGAGCGGTCACCAGTCTACCAATGGCGTGGCGAGTGTCATTGGTCAAGCCGGCCGGCCGAGGAGGGTCCTTGATATTGGTAGCGGAAGCGGGTACCTGACGCACGTACTCGCGGAACTAGTAGGCGAGACGGGTGTCGTAGTCGGCCTGGAACATATCCCCGCGCTGAAAGATCTCGGCGAGCGCAACATGGCCAAGTCCCCCGAGGGTAGAGCGCTGCTAGAGTCCGGGCGCGTGCGCTTCCGCGTAGGCGACGGGCGAAAGGGGTGGTCGGAGCCGAGTCCAGGAGATGCGCAGCCAGGTGTCGGGGGTGCAGCTGCTCCGGACGTAACGAGAGAACAGGAGAAGAAAGACGAGGCGGGCGGCTGGGACGCGATACACGTGGGTGCTGCGGCGGCGGTGCTGCACGAGGAGCTAGTGAGACAGCTGCGCAGCCCGGGGCGCATGTTTATACCTGTCGAGGCGGAGAGTGGCTGGGAGCAGTATATCTGGACCGTGGATAAGGACGAGCACGGGAATGTTGAGAAGAAGAAGCTGTATGGGGTTAGGTATGTGCCGCTTACGGATGCGCCGAAGTGAAGGGAGGGTTGTGTATAACTACCTGGTATAATAGTTGGGAGTCTTGGTTTGTCGAGTTTAGGTAGTTTATGTGTTGTCGGGAAGAGATGGGAGACTCGTTCGTTCGTTCATATCAACCCCTATTCTGAGGTATGTCATTACCTCTTCTGCTACCGGATATTAAGCGAACTTGTTAACTTATTGAGATCTAGAGCGTGTAGTATTGTGGACTAATAATAACAGCTCGAGGTTAGTAAATAAAGTATTCGCGAGCCCTTATTAATATGTTATGCGCAAAGCTGGGCATCTTGGGTAAAGTAGTGTACCTAATGCCTGTCAAATATTTAATTCAACATTGTCCATTTTAGTTATTTGGACGAATTGCTCGTTAGTGAAAAACCCTGTTAGTATGCTAATAATAAGAGTCTGGTTCCGTCGCATGTGTAGGTATTTACAGATTTTATTTATAATAAACTGCGAAGCAATACTAAGTCCTTACCTAAAACAACCATGTTAGCATCATTGATGTCTAAAATCTGGTCTATAACACCAGAGACTAGAGCCAGGTATTTTGAACGCCACAAACGGAAACTGTGTATTGCCCCTTAGTTGATATTTACAGCGTTGCAATATAACTCCACCAGGTTAGACCCTTGATTAATTTGGTTATCTGTAAGGGGAGTCGGCCTTGATGATAGCTGCCAACTCGGGCTCCCATTTGTCTCCATTCGCCAGGAGCTTCTCCTTGTTGTATAGCAACTCCTCTCTCGTCTCGGTCGAGTATTCGACATTGGGCGACTCAACGATCGCGTCTACGGGACATGACTCTTGGCAGAAGCCGCAGTAGATGCACTTGGTCATGTCGATATCGTATCGGGTTGTCCGCCTCGAGCCATCAGCTCGTTCTTCTGCTTCAATTGTGATAGCTTGCGCTGGGCAGATCTATATAAAGTTAGATATTAGAACGAAGAAGCAGACTCCGAGTCATGATATTCGTCCTAGGGCAAAACGTACCGCTTCGCACAGCTTGCAGGCAATACATCGCTCTTCACCTGACGGGTAGCGCCTTAGGGCATGTTCGCCACGGAATCGGGGAGAGATAGGACCCTACGAAAGTATTAGCCTCCAAATTCTGCCGAATATTCCCCTCTTTTAAACATTGTTTCCGTAATGCCTCCTCGAGAGTATATCGCGCAGGCTCGTCCAGACAACAAACGTGAGTATTCGATTACCACGAACCTTCTCAAAAGGGTAGTAAATTGTGTATCTAACGGCGTCGTGGAACATTAGCGTTATGATCTTTCTCCGGTAATCAATATATAGGTTAGACTCACGGTGGCCTGAAGAAGTTCTCTAATGCGACGTACATGCCCCTGAACATCTCAGTCAGGAGGAAGTACTTTCCAGCGCGTTCGAATGTCCCATCCTCTTCTTCGTTCCATCGCTTCGGCGGGGGAGTTCGGAAACCCTTCACGGGCGGACCAGCGGGCGTAGCGTATGTCCGTTGCGCGACTATTCTAGCCACTGTCGAGGCCGCGATGGGCTGTCGACGTACGAGCTGACGAGACAGCATGGCTGTTGTCGATGTGGTAAGCCCTTGCATGGCGCAGTGCAATTGGGCGGCAAGAGCAAAGGCGGGATGTTTAATTGTCGAGATTAATAGTCGAGGGCGAAGTCTAGTTGAAGCTTTGAGGTCATGCTGGAGTTGGTCGGGATTTTAGGTGGAGCTCAAGATTGACATTATTACAAAAGCTTTGCCATGATTGGTTTATAGCTCAAGCCCGAGTTAGGGAAGCCATATTAGGTCATAGCCACATAATTCCATCATTGAGTGCCGGTTAACAGTTGACGCGCAGCTGCCATCCGGACTGATTTATTACAACTGGGGGGCACTACAAAGATAACAAAGATAACAAAGGCTACTACTAGTCACGTGTAATTACCTATCTATTCGAATGGCCGCTAGCTCCGATGGGGTCCAAGCTCGGAGTTTGAACTTTGAGATGACGAGAAATTTATCGTTGAAAACCTCCGCGCATCGAAGCTCCAATCCCACTACGTATCACCATTTCAACGACCACGTTTTCCTCCCGCCCTTCCCTAGGCCACCAATTGACTCGTTCTCGATCGCCATCATGTTCCGCGCAGCATTAATTCGCACTGCCGTCACGGCGTCCCGCGCCGCTGTCGCTCGACCTATCGCCCGAAAAGCCGTTGTTCCCGCCAGAGCTATTTTCGCCCCGGCGCCCCGACTCGCTGCCTTCCAGACCGTACGAATGTATTCTGCCGGTAGTGGACTGAAGAAGGAGGAGGTTGAGGGTCGCATTCTTAACATTCTACAAAATTTCGACAAGGTAAGTTGGTCTGCAAGGCGTCTCGAATTATTGCTACTAGGGTGAAGGAGGGGGATATTAGATATATGCTGGCAGAACATAGCGTAGAGCAGTTAGGTTGTAGCCTAAGTTTGGTGCCTCTGTAGCATTCAACTTGTGGATATGGGAAAATCATGGTATATGAAGAGAATAAAGTTGCTAACTGGATGTTAAATAGGTTAACGACCCGAGCAACGTAAGACCCGACTTCAACACATCATATATCTCTCTCGGCATACTGACCTTCATTAGCTCAAGCCTACTGCGCACTTCGCAAACGACCTTGGTCTGGACAGCCTAGATACAGTGGAGGTTGTTATGGCGATAGAAGAGGTATGCACCAGTTATTTATTCCAGAATATTAGTTTAGAAAGCACCTATATTCTTGATATTTTTACCTGGTATGAAAATCTTGAATATTGTAGCTAACAATATATATAGGAATTCAGCATTGAGATTCCTGACAAGGACGCAGATGCTATCCACAGTGGTATGAATTCCCCATCAGCAAACAACCCAGGTTTTTATTTCGATTAAACTGCTAACCCTACTATCTGCACAGTGGACCAGGCTGTCGAGTACATCTTGAGCCAGCCTGATGCAAACTAAAGCATCCCATCATGTACATTAATAGCTATACTACTTCTATAGCAATGGCCCGTACTGGCATTTAGACTCCGCGGCAGTGGCTATGTATGCCTGCAACAAGTCTTGAGGCAATGATAGAGGGACTATAATCGACAAGGCCGATATAGTCACAATTCGACGAGAAAGGACGTCAATGAAGATGAACATGGCGTGGTTCAAATCGAATACGATTCCCCGCCGTTGTATTAGTGTATAAATCTTTTCTCCCATTCGAAAACCGTGCTTCTTTGTCTTTAATAATCCAACTACATGTAACTTTGGAAATCATGAATTATGAGCAAACGGCAAGTTTCCAAAGCATCAGGGTACCATTTACAGATTATGGTAAAATATATTTGACGGTTCTACTAGGGCTGGTCGATGCTCACCGCTCAGCCAATGGAACGGAGACAAGGGTCCCAGATGCAGTATCCATCCTTCAGTTTCCATATCCAAAACAGAAATTCATCATGAGAAGACAATCAGTTCATAGTTTCAGAAATATATTTTCTTTTCGTTCTTCATTTTATTTACTGCCCCTGAAGTTCATATGTTTGCTATAGCTTTACGACTTGGGGCTTGTAGATATAATTCACGGACTCCTTCAACCCCATTAGACGTTAACCTAGATTTACTAGGTCCTCGCTTTTGACGAGGTTGGGAACAACCTGGTTACGTAGCGGGATTACAATGGATGGCTCGACTACGAATGATAGCGGAAATAACAATGTAGGCAATACGGGCATGGACAGTGCCACGCTCGCGGGAGTGGTCGCTACCATAATTTCTTTTATCGCGTTGATCGTCTCGTCCATCCAGTTGTTATACCAGTACTATACGAATGTTTCACTCAATGCGCTTGGCGCAAGAAACTGCAATGAAAGAGTCATGGGCCCTTGGGCTAAACTCACCCGTCGCCGGTGGAGATGGCTGGAATTACGATATGAGATTATATTCGAGTCTCCCATTCTCTTTGTTGCACCGGCTTGGAACCAGCGTGGGCCCGTCCCAGGCCGCAAGATCTGGTATATAAGCGGGACCGACGAGAGCTTTGCAGAGACTAGGACACCGATGCCCGTTGACTCGGGCCCGTTTCCTAGGACGACTGCTGTCCGCCACGGCGTCAACGTCGAGGCTACCTGGGTGCTGCTGCTACGAACCTTGCAGTCGATGGAGCGCGAGAGCGGGAAATGGCTGGACATCGTACGGAGTACAGAAGACTGCGAGAAACCTCTGCCTTTCGCCAGTCGTACGCTGGCCGTCGCGGCGCAGGCGCAGACACTATCATGGGACTTCGTGCCAAACTTCAAGAAGCCGTTTGCCAACACAACTATCGGCCATATGGTCGAGATAGCCGCTATGCTGGGCATCCACTGGACCATGTGGGACGCTACGGTAGACCGCTATCGTGCCGAGGGTAACGGGTGCATGCTGCTGGGGTCCTTCAACGCCGAGCAGGGCATCGTGTTCAAGTTCGTCAGACACGATAAAACCGAGTTTCGCGAGCACCGGCTCATTCCCAGCAATATAATAAAGAGATTATGCTTCGGCTTCGCTCCCACATTCTATTTTCTCGACAGGTATGATTTTGTCCCGGAGAAGGGCGAGCGCGAAATAGCCACAGATCCAATTCTACCGCTCCTGAGGCTAGGGAGTCGGCAGGAGATCGTCGAGACGCTTATGGATATCGGATGTCCCATATCTATATCTGAGCATTTCCTCAACCAAGATGCGAGGAGTTCTCACCTTTTTCCTAGTAAGCAGCTCACTTCTCTCATTTCTTTAGTGCTGTCCATCTCGAAAGCGTGACGTTATAATTACCTATGAGCTACAAGCTAATATCATCCAGTCGTGTTTGACATCTTAGGAATGTTGGGCCGGTCAATCTCCGTCGAGGGATACTGCTACCGCTTTCTACCTAACCCGACCATATTTCGCTGGGATCGCCGATGGTTCAAGACGAAGCGTTTGCTTCTAGTCTTCAAGGAGCATCTCTCGCAGCTAAATAGAGTCTACGCTAAA